CCAAATCAAAGAACATGACAGAAAATACCCCCAAAACCACCCAAACCCATGCTCCACCTACATGTTTTTTCCCCAAATTTCAGCAAGCTCCATCTGACCAGCAGCAATGTGCTACAACTCCAGAACAATCAAGAACACTCAAATGCTCCTAGAAGGGAAAATTTGGTGCCACCAGCACCCTCCAGTACTGTGTGGCCCTTGGTGGCTGTGAAGCCAGGCAGTGTCTCACAGCCACCTGGCAGGAGCAACGCTCCAAGTCCATTGGGCAGATCCAAACCAAACAGCCTTTCCAAGGGTGCTGACCATGTCTTCATTCCCCACTGTGTGATGGGAGAGCCTCAGCTGCCCTTTTGCTCAGGTAGCACCATGCCAAGCTCCCTGTCCTGGAAGTCCCTGGAAAAATGGTGTGGGTTTGGCAGGGTACAGGCACTGGCATCCCAGTGGGAGACACCATCCTTACTGTGGGCATTTTGGTTCACAAGACCCTCAAATGCAGAGCTTGGGGGATGCATGAGTGGGATTTTCTGCTCTAAAACCCCCAGCTCAGTGTCTTCCAGGTGGAGGTTGCCCATGACATTCTCACTTCTCATGTAACCAGATGCTTTCACAACTTTGCAAAAGTTTTAGTCTTTGTTTGAAATACACAGTGTGGGGGACACGGGGAGAGAGGTCAGTAAGCACCTTCAAATTCATGCAGCACTTACCAAAATCAACATTAAAAAACAATTCACGTAAGAACATCCAAGTGCCTCCACGCTGAAATTCTTCCCATCTGTAAATCCCACCACTAAACCCAGGGATGACTCTAGGTCAGCCAGAGCTGTCTCCTGGAATAAGGAAACCTCAGCAGTGCTCTGCTTGACCCTGGAGTGGTTCCAAACTGTCCAGAACAGTGGTGCCCCCTCACAGACCATCTCCCACTGCTTTTGGGAAGCCTGTCCCATGAGGAGGTTTGGGTAATGCACACCTAGAGGATACATGAATTCCAACTGCACTTCAGGGTGGATCTCCCTGAGCCACATCTGCCTCCATCACTCTCTTTTAAAGAGCAAACACAGGTTGCTGATATCCTCATGAAAGATGAGCCCAACAATTTAGCAGTTCCCTCCTTTTTTTTAATATATATAATTCTAATATTTTTTTAAATACCACATCAAATCCCAATGGGATTTTGGGGGTTTTGTTTTAATGGCAAGGCAAAAATTTGCTGATCCTCCCCGTGGCGAAGTTACTTTCAAGTCAGTGAAAGTTCTTGGCCCGCAATGAAAAGTCTTTGCCAATTAGCGCTCAACAACTTCAATTCATCCCTCCTGGTTCAAGATGAGTAGGAACCTAATAAGGCTGTGATAAAAGGGCAAAAGGCACCGAGTACCCAAAGGGGATTAATGGGCTCTTCCATTTATTTGTCTTCCTAACAGCTGAACTGTTACAAGTATTGACGGTCTTCAAACGCCGGGCGCCGGGGTCTCCAATGGCCAACTCCAGCTCCTGGCCCCGAGGGGCGAGGGCTTCCCCCTGGGCGATGCCAAAACCAACAAAGCCCCCGGGATCAGGTAATGAAACTTCAGCTTTTCCCCCCTCCTCCTTCTTCTTTGAGATTTATTTACTGGCAGCTGACAAGGGGCAAATTCAGATGGAATTGTGTAGTCAAGGCCCTGTCAAGCCTTCAGAGGCACCCTTATGTCGAATCACCTTCCTGACTGGCATGTCGCTGAAAAGCCCTCGGCGCTGGTCCTTAACAGCTCCCGACAGCACAAAGGACACTCCAGACAGATGCCTACATGGCATCCTGCAGCATTTTAAAAGAGAATTAGTGGTTTTAATTATGGTCGTCGTATGAAAGGAAACCATGCAAGCTCGGCAGGAGACCTTTGATCAAACCCTTTTGCTAGCACAATGCCGCGGAACTGTGACTATTCCTAGCAAGGGGCCTTTTCTCGCTGAATGACTCACCAGTGATCTTTGAATGCAGACAAGTTCCTCACCCTCCCTCTTCATTAGCGAGCATTTCTATACAGCCCCTATATAGTGCGCCGAGTCTTGGAGCTATACAATGGGGGGGAAAAAAGAATCCCTACAGATTCTGGCCTCTACTTAGGAAGTGCTGAAGGACTCTGAGTGACTTTATTCATTAAAACAGGTTGCTATTAATTAACTGTCATAATAAAATAAAGAACTATTATTTGCATTTCTTAGTGCGCTCCCTTTAGTAATATGTATAAAAGATGCTTGTAACAAAAATGAATTTATAAGGGAGAAAAGACCCTCAGAAGTCTTTTTTCCCCTCTGCCCCCACCCCCTTTTTTTTTTTTTTTTTTTTTTTTTTTTAAGGTCTAGGCAGCAGGAGCCTGACTAATTATTAGGACCCGTTTTTGCAAGAGAACAAATAGAGGTAAAACACAAATATGAAAGTAATTAGGAAATGCAAAATCCTGTTTACTTGGCAACCGATTCATGCAACTGAGACTAACGAAGAGCAAATCAGCTTTGCTTGTTTGATAAACTTCAGGGTGCCACCTAAGAGGAGCTGATAAAAATTAAACTCTGCCAGCATCCCTCCGCACCGCCTTTTAGCCAACAGGCTCAGCAACATCCACACAGCGGCTCCGTCTGCGAGCACCAGCAAATCTCATTTGAACAGGTCCAGGGGGAGGAATTTTGGAAGTTCCATCAGTGCTAGATATTTCCCCCCTCCATGGAATATCTTCTGCTGAACACCCAGCACAGACCCCTGCGTCTCACACGCGCAGGATTTATAAGGCGACAGAGCACGTCAGCGGCAGGGTTCTGATTTTCTCCCTAAAAAAGGCATCACCGTCCTACTGCTCTTCACACCTGGGAAGGCTTTTGCCAGTGGTAAAGCCCTTTTTGTAGCCACCACCACTATTTATTACAATATAGGATGATACTTTATTCAGCACAGCCCCTCTTTTCTCCCGAGCAGATAGTGGGATCCACAAAAACTTCCAATTATTTCAAGACTACGCGGCTAAGGAGGGGCATCTAATCAAGATAAAGAAAACCCTCAGCTCAGTATATTTGCTTGAATGGATTTTCAATAATGCAGGTAACAAAAGCATTCAAAAATTGGATTCTGGATGCTTTTCTGCCAGGGCTGGAGGAGGGAAGGAGAAAGCCCTCCCTGAGAAAGCTGCACGGAGGAATGTGTGATATTCCCTCGCTCTGTACAAACACTCCTGCAGGGATTGAGAGGAAGAGATTTAAGTGAGGCACAACCGACCTGAAATATAGTCAATTACAACACAAAGAGTTAAAAGGACACCCCTGAACTGCTCCTCTTCCCTCTCACCCCTCTGCTTTGTGGCTTTGCAACCCAGAAGCCACAGTTTTCCATCTTTTTATTGATCATTTCTCATCCGCTGTTCGTACAGGAATTAACAGGGAATTGCGTATGCTACAAAAACAAATCAAGTGTGAGAGGATGAAAAGTAAAGGATGTTATTTTGCATCTGGAGTTAGAGATTCCCAGACAGCAGCTTGATTTTTACATGGGAAGTATTCAAAGTTGGAAATCAGCACTTGGTTTTCAAAGGATCTTTTAGGAACAGTGGCCACATGTCCCTACACACACCTCAAACCCCAGAGCAGCAGAGCATCCACCTGCAACACCCATCCCTCCTGCCCCCATCCCAGTCTGCTCCAGAGATGATGTTTGATAATGTCATCTTTACAGAAGTACTTGTTTCTTCTCTGATAATTTTACCAGAAGAAATCCTGGCCTGGCAGCAATTTGTGCAAAACACTGAGCTGAGACATCATAAAACCACAGAATAACGTATGAAGTTTTAGATGAACAGAGCTTTGCAGGAACACCACCAGAGTTTGGGGTCTGTTTCAAGCATTTGAAGTACTGTTAACTGACAAAATATTGAAAAACGCATTTTATGTCTTTTTTCTTGAAAAGAAGAAGCTGAGTTCTTGTTAACCCCAGAAGTCGCTTTGCTGTTGGGGCAGATTGAAAAGCAGGGTGGATTTGCACTCAATTATGTTGGTTAAAGCCTCAACACCTCCAAAACTGCACTTCTGGCATCCCCAGGAGCCACGAGGATGTGGCAGAGCAGATGGGGATTCTGGGCTCACACAGAAAGAGGCCACAGCATGGATGCCATGACCCATGGAGGGAGCAGCATCCCAGGGGAGCAGCATCCTAGGGGAGTTGCTCTTATGTCCCATGTGGGGTCTCAGGACCATGGTCCCTCTGCCCCAGTGCAGGAGATGTCACACTGCTGCCAGCAGAGTCCCTCTGCAAGGGTAAATACACGAGTTGCTTGGTCAGGGTTGGAACTCTAAGCAATAAAGACCATCCCATCATAAAATCCCAAAGGAATGAAAGCAGCCATCCCTGAAAAGCAAGGGAGGCAGAAAAAAATGTGTTGGTCTCTACCCACCTCATTCCAGCAGGACATCCTGTCCTTCCAGCACCTAAAGGGGTTACAGAGAGCTGGAAAGGAACTGTTTACATGGGCATGAAGTGACAGGACTAGGGGGGAAGGCTTCAAAGGAGGGCAGGGTTAGACAGGATATTGGGAAGGAATATGTGAGGGTGGTGAGGCCCTGGCACAGGTTGCCCAGAGAAGCACCTGGCAGTGTCCAAGGTCAGGCTGGAAGGAGCTTGGAGCAACTTCCTAACAGCTAGGGATAGTGGGAGGTGTCCCTGCCCATGGCAGGGGGGGAATGAGAGGATCTTGAAGGTCCCTTCCAACCCAAACCATTCTGGGATTCTGTGGTTATTATTCTGCAGTGCCCTTGGGCACAGGCACAGCCAGGGTTCAGAGCACATCCAAAACAGTGAATGACCAGGCTCCTGTGGGGGGTGGGCATCATCCCACAGCTTGTCCTGCTGGAAACCCACCACAAAAACACCCAGACACAGCACAGCTAATGAAAAATGGCTTTAGGAAACCTCTTTGCTCAGCAACAGGGGAAGCAATAAAATGCTAAATACATTTTTACATCTAGAATGGAAGCTGCATTCATAAAAAAACATATATATTCACAGTTCAAGTTCATAGTTTTCTTGTAAAAGAAAACTCTCCTTTTTGAAACCCGCTATTTAGTGGTGAGCTTCTCCCCTACCCCCAAAAAAGTTCATTTGGCAACAGAAATCAAACATCACTGTGTTCCTGCAGAGGGGATCACACCTGATTTCCTCTCTGCTGCCATTTCTGTCACCTTTTAAAACCCCTCTCACGCTGCCAAGAACTAATTCAGATTTTAAGTCCCGGCTTCAACACTTCAGCAGGACCAGGCGCTACCCAGCTGCGCGCCTCAGCTCCGCTTTCCTTCTCCTCAGCCCCTGCAGCTCTTCCCGGAGGTGCTGCACAGCCTGCAGGATGTCCTGGCGCTGGGGATCATCCTCTGCCTTCTCAGTGTAGAGCAGGAAATGTTTCACAGCCTCGGAGAGCAGCGTTTCGGGATCCACGTCCCCCCGGCGGAGGCGCAGCATCCTCTCGCAGGCGATGGCGTAGTTCTTGTGCCAGTTCACCGGGTGATGGGGATGGGAGTTGACAATTTCTCTGTACGACTGTTAAAGGAACAAAGAAAGAGAAAAAAGAAAAAAAAAAAAAAAAAAAAAAGGAGGTGAGGGCAGCAAATTAATTGAATGAAGTGGGAGCAACAGCTTCTTTTTAACAGTGCTACAAAACTGCCTGGAAAGAAACAGATGCTATTTAGATGTCCAAGTCCAGAGCTGGAGTATTTCTGTAATTCGCTCTGTGTTTGCCATTCAGCAGCATGAATCAGAAATCCAAGGGGGGCTGAAATGTTTCCCTTCCAAGAGCAGCTGTTTGTTTAGAAACATTACAGATGATGGTGATAACCCCACGGCACATTATGTGCTTCCCCCAGAGAGGTGTTACACCAAGCTGGGGGAAAAAAGAGATTTAACTGCCGCGCCTGCGAGACATTTACTCAATATTTCAGGAGATCAGGACGTCTTCCACAGGACTTAAGCAGTCTGTTGACTTCAGTAGGAATATTCATAAGCTCAACAGCAGGCATGTGCCTGGGAACTTTGCAGAACAGCAAAAATCACAGCAAAACGGGCAAGAATTAAGGAAACTATTTGTTGATTCTCTGCTGGAGTATGAAATACTGCTCCTCTCTGCTGACACACACTGATCACTCTGTGCATCTGTTGGCATCTCAGGCAGTCCAGTATTTCCAGAGATACCTACACCAGCTTATGGGTGTTATTCTTTGGTGTGAAATGCAGCAGAATTAATTTGCAGTGAGAAGACTGTCGGATTTTACACTTGCTGGCTCAGACACACGACTGTGTAATGACAGAGGGGACAAGAGCATAGAGGGGACTTCAGGACAAGCAATCTCTTGGCATGGGTTTGCAGCCCAGCACAGACAACATAATTATAGCAAGAGCAGGGTGTTGACTGGTTTGCTTTTGGCATCCTCCATGACCGAGGGGGCAAGCAGGAATGGATAAAATCCCTGAACAAATCTCTTTGAATCGGCTATGCTCCCAGTTTGCATAAACAAGGGGAATGCAGATCACAGGGCCTGCATGGAAATACCCTATTTCCATGGACTCCAGAAATTTAAAAGAAAAGGGGGGGAAAAAAATTATGATGGAGGCTGCAGGGAGCATTCCTAACCCAAATTCAGGACTTACAGTGTATGCAAATGTGTAAAGTTGTGATTTCATTTCTGTAGTCACACTGGCTGTTTCTGCTAGGTCAAAGATGAAGAAAGCTGTTTTCATCCTAGGAAAACAAGAAAAACTTCCATGTGGTAACTGCCTAATGCAACCAGCTCACATCATACATGGCTTCAACATATCCACCTGTGGAACAGCACACAGGAGCTCCATTTAAACCATCAGTGATACAAATTTCTCTCCATAATCTATTTCCTCACTACATCCCAACCACCTTTGAGAGACTTTGAGCAGAACCTTTTGGTGAACAAAACAGCCACTTTCCTGAAGGCTTTGCTGGAGGCCTTGCACGCTTCATCTCATCCTGCCAGCCTTTTCCTTCTAAAGCTTGGCACATGTAGACCCAATAAGGCCATGGCCCATCAAGCTGCCTGCTTTGGTGTGTGTTTCCACACCAGTGAGCTGGCAGCGCCCACTGGCTGTTGGAAGAGAGCAAAGGAAAATTACCTGGCTTGCCACATCTCCTCGTTGGCAACAGCTTCCCAGGAAGAGGGGCTGAAACTAAACAGGAATGGAAACAAAATTCAGCCATCAGATCCACGTGGCTGGGTTTCACCCACCACAACCCTTCCAACCCAGGCAGCTACACACATCCCAGGCAGCAGAAAACCTGTCATGAAGTCTGTGGCTCTGACAGCAGGAAATTCAGCTGATTCTCTGTCCTTCAAAGAACTTAGTTCCTCTCTCTCCATAGATGGAGCCTCTGGTATATCAGGTGTTTCACAGCATCCCAGTTCTCAAAGCCAGAGATGTTTTTTACCACCACAGGTCAGCCTATTACATTTAAACCTCTAGATGTCTCAATAATTTTAGATCCTGATCATATTTTAAGGTCAGAATTGGACTTCATGCTTGACTAGAGATGTCCTTGCTATTTTTCACACTATTAAAAATCACAGCTCATGGAATGGTTTGGGTTGGAAGGGACCTTAAAGCCCATCTCATTCCAACTCCCTGCCACGAGCAGGGACCCCTTCCACTATCCCAGGTTGCTCCAAGCCACATCCAACCTGGCTTGGAACACTTCCAGGGATGGGGCGATTGTCCTCTAGGACAGCTCCTCTAGGCTCTAGAGGACAGCTCCTCTAGGCTGTGCCAGCATCTCACCACTCTCACAGGGAAGAATTTCTCCCTGCTATCTCTCCAGAACACAAAACACTGAGATTATGACTCTTGTTTAATTCCTGTAACACTGCAGCGGGTGTGGCAGTGCTGCTGGCAGAAAATGATGAGCAGGAAGGAGCAGAGGCTCCTGTGCCTCATACCTGCCATAGTCCTCAGTCCAGTTATAGAGATTCCTTGTGAGACGAATCCACTCTCCTGGGTCAAACACAGCTCCAGAAGGAACCAACTTCTCACATGTACCCCAGGGCCAGAGCGAGTGGCTCCTTCTCCAGGTCGAATCCCCTTCATGAAGACCTATGCACACAAACACTTCCTTACTGCCAAAAAAACCAACAGAGAGAGCAATGGTGAAGCCACCTCAGAGACTGAGGCCACCCCATGTCCCTGAGCAAACCAAACCCCACCACACTGTGCAGCAAACTCGCTCATCCAGCACATCTCCCATCAGCACAGGCACATTGTGGGGCAGTCTGGAAAACAGATGAATTCCCCACCTGGCATTGCCCATCTTGAGCAGCCAGCACAGCTGGCACATCCTGTCCCCTCTCCTGGACCTCCCAAACAGGCAGAAGCTGTAGGAGAAGCCCATTTCTCCCCACTGGCACCTGGCTGTGCTCCTGTGCCTCCCCACCCTCGCAGGGCTCACCCCAGCTAGTCTAAATGCAGATGCTATTCTTATTCGTGTGAGTATCTAATCCTTTCTCCACTCTTACTGAGCTATTTTTATATGATGATTATTCCTGGAATACATTCATTCTATGCTAATCAGTTGGCCACAATGTTCACAAAGGAGAAGCAGCAGCAATTTGCTCTCCAACCATCGTCGTTCTGAGTACACAGGAACGTTCCTATTCTCTGTGATGAATTGTATCAACAACAACAACAAAAAATCATCAGTAAACACTCTGCAGATCACCTTTTTTTCCCTCCTTCCTAAAAACCAAACCAACCACAAAACAACAGGCAATATTCTATCCGGATGGAGTTACTTTTGCAGAGATATTTTGCTTTAATTGCAAAAATAATCTCGCCACCGGGGAGGAAGTCAGTGGAGAAAATTGGTCTTTTGGATGCAAGCTGTTCCATAAACAATTTCAAGAGGCAAAAAAAAAGGTCAGAGATTTTAGGAAAGCTGTTACATATGAAAGAAATGCTTACTGTTTATTTACTTTGAGGAAACGATGGAGATTAAAGGCGAGTGTCCCGTCGGGTAATACTCCTTCCACAGGATTCCACCGGTCCCCAGGAAAATAAACGCCAGGTAAATGCTTTGCCAGCTTGGGTAAATACCATTCATAAGTCATCATCTGGAATAAAAGATATTATCACAACTACAAGAGGAATCTGAAGATTTACAATCCAAGAAATGGATTCTGCAGGAGTAATGACCATTTGCTCAGGGAAGTCATCCACCACATCAGCAATGACACGGCACCAGAGCACCAGGCTGGGTCACCGTGGTCAGATTGGGTCACCATGGTCACATCACAGCACCAGACTGGGTCACCATGGTCAGATTGGGCCACCATGGTCAGACTGGATCCCCATGGTCAGATTGGGTCACCATGGTCAGATTGGATCCCCATGGTCAGACTGGGTCACCATGGTCACATCACCATGGTCAGACTGGGTCACCATGGTCAGATGGGGTCCCCATGGTCAGACTGGATCCCCATGGTCACATCACAGCACCAGACTGGGTCACCAGTGCCTTCTGATCAGAGGCACCTGGTCCTCTCTCCAACACAAAGTAGCCACTGCTGGTAAGACACACAGCAGGGATTTGGTTAAACACCAAGAATTGGGTTTGGGGTTTGCCAACAATTCAGAGACTTGTTGCAAAGCCAGGTGATGAGAGGATGATGTGGCAGTGGAAGTGTGGGTGACCCATCCTGGAACATTTTTTTATTCCCTTTTCCCATTTCTCAGTGAAAAAGGAATGTGCACACCATGCTCCATCCCAGGGTTACCCATAAACCTCTTTTTTAAAAAAATCAATTTTATTTATTCATCACATCATGAGCTTTCTTGAACAGAGAGCCCTTCTCAAGGAGATCAAAGAACAACTGAACTTTTGTTTAAACCTGCCTTTCTAAACAGCATTTTCTGGACATACCTCCTGATCCACCAAGGTGATATCTGGCCTCATGCCCTCACAATAATGAAGGTAACGAAGAGCATTCCCAGGCAAGTCTCCTCTCAGCAGGATCACTGCCCCTGTTGGCATGGAGGATAGCACGTTCCTTGCAAACTTATCAACAACGTAGTTGTTGCTCTGATCACAAGTGCTGAAGAGGACAGATGAAAAACAGAATCTTAGAACCAGATGTTTGCATGGCTTTGCAGAACTTCAGAACGATTTTATGCAATGGGCACCCACAGGGAAAACCCACCCTGGTCAGGCTGGAAACATCACAGAGTCACAGAATGGTTTAGGTTGGAAGGGGACTTGAAAGTTCATCTCATTCCACCCCTCTGCCATGGGCAGGGACACCCTGAACTATCCCAGGTTGCTCCAAGCCCCATCCAACCTGGCCTGGAACACTGCCAGGGATGGAGAGTGTCAACAACTTAATCACTACAACAACTTAATATCTCCATTTCCAGAGAAACTGAGAGACAGAAACAAAGCATTTAAAGCACAGGCCCTCAGACAGCACCACCCACTACAGTTTCACCAAAATACACACTCACTGCCCACCCTCACCTTAATTCTGATTTCTCCTTAAATCTAAAACCTTACTAGTTGGTGCTGGAAGTGCCAGTACAACAATGGTTCTGTAGAGCCCACAGCTCACCTATGGAGAAGCCTTTGGAAAAGGTGTGCTAAAAAAAGGATTCCTGAGGATGAAGTCTACACTTCCTTGGTCAGCCTGTACCTGAGCAGGACATTAGGAATCTATCCAACCAATCTATCTAACTGCACACAGTTATGGGATAGAGAAGCCCCAAACTACAGATAAGTTCTTCCAAAATGGGAAAAATAAATGGAAAAAACTTCAGGGCACAAGGTAACCTGAAGGACACCAAGAGAAGTTCAGGTCAAATGAATTCTGCAGACCTCCTTAGGAGACAAAGCAGAGATTTACAAGGGTTTTTTTAGTAGAAGTTTACACATCTATGGAGTTTTTTTCCTTCAACCTCTGTGACATCCCCATGTACAGCCTGGAGTTGGTGACTCTGAGGGAGATCAAACCAGGGAGTCCTGCAGGTTGTGACCAGGCAAGCTTAGGTAGGGTGTGAGAAGTGCCTTTCCCACTGCCAGCCAAGGACAGAAACCCCAGGAACACCCCAGCTCACCCTGCAAGTTCCCAAGAGAACTTCTCACCTGTAATTCGCCCAAAGTTGAGAAGCAACGAGGGCAAGAGCAGGAAGCCACTCCAGGCACGGCAGCAGCCAGGTGCCCTCCAGCACAGTGCTCCTCCCAAGGCTGGCCAGTGTGGCCAGCCCCAGCCCTGCCAGCACAGCCACCACAGCACTGCTCTGCAGCCAGAACCGCTCCACCTAGGAGAGACAATCCCAGAACTGGCCTTGGCTTGGAAGGGACCATAAAGATCATCCCATTCCAGCCCCCATCTCACACCTTCCACCAGAACAGGTTGCTCCAAGCCCTGCCCAACCTGGCCTTGGAGCTGTATTTTGGCACCTTCTGCAGCTTCAAGAGAACTGTCTGCTCCTGGTCAGGTGGTTTTAAGGTTTTTTAAGTGTTTCTCTCAAAAATTAACATACCAGAGCAACTTACCACGCCTAGAAACAGAGGCTTTGTAACATCTAAATTTGCTCTCCAAGCAAAGAAAAGGGAATAAAGGCAGAGCATTCCAGTGAACAGCCAGATCACAGATGACTTCTGATGCTTTTTCCTATTAAAAAAATAATGTATCACTCCTGAGACACGATGAAAAACGAAGCAAAAATTGTATGTGCTTGAACTCCTTGCATACCAAAATGCATTTAGCACAAGGAGCTGATGAGTCTTTCTTTACCTTTGCCATTTATGAAACTTCTGTTTTCAAAGCACAAAACCATGAGGATTTCAGGAGTTTTAAGCTTGCCATCTACCAAGCCACGGGGTGAACCAGGAGAAAGGGATATTTTGCTCTTTATCATAGATGACCACAGCCAATTGCTGCAATTTCTGCAGCAGCAAGCAGAAGGCAAAGCGAGCTGCCCGTGCAGGCAGTAAGAGAAAATGTGCAAAAAATGCACATTGAAGCAAATATTGTCCAACTTACAGCAGTGCTGGGCTCACACAGGCCACAAGTGCCAGGGCAAGGACGGGAGGGGAGAGCTCTGACTTCATCTGTGCCAGCTGGAAACTGTGGAGAAATTCAAGTGTGAATGTGTCACCCCCAAATCACCGCTTGCACTCAATTGAAGTGTCAGGAGAAGCAGGGAATAAGCACAACAGAACATATTCCCTTTCTTCTGGGATTAAATCTACCAGAAATGGAGACAAGAGTGGGTTATATGGCAGGATTTTAAAGGGAAAATCACTGGGATGGGGGATCCAGTGTTTTTCCTTCAGTGGGGAAGACAGAGGGCAGGAATTCTGTCCCTCTGGAGAGGATGAGGAGGGGAAGGAGAGGAGCCAAGCTGGCCCAAAGGAGAGCAGCAGCAACAGGTTACTCTCCACTGGTCTTACTCACAGCAGCATCTCTCCCATACTGGATCCTGTCTCGGACTTGGCCTAAAATAAAAACAAAGGAAACCCATGAGGAACCCACACGCTGATTTGGTATCACTGGGGCAAGGAAAGTCTTCTCATTTCCTGTTTGCAAGAAAGGCAACCTCTACTCAAACCTTGACTGCAAGATGTTCTCCCACATTCCTGTTTTATGTGATGCCACTGAAGGATTTACCCCCTGGGAAAACGTGTCTTCAAGGTGCTGACAACACATTATCCTGTGATTAGGGCATGTCATATGGTTTAGCCATGATCTCAGCTGAATCATGGAATCATTTGGGTTGGAAAAGCCCTCTGAAATCATCGAGTCCAACCATTCCCCCAGCCCTGCCCAGCCCACCACCAACCCATGTCCCCAAGTGCCACATCCACACATCTTTTAAATCCCTCCAGGGATGGTGATTCCTCCACTGCCCTAGGCAGCCCATTCCAATTCCTGACTATTCTTTCTGTGATTTTTTTTTTCCTAATATCCAATCTAAACCCCTCCTAGCACAACTTGAGACCGTGCCCTGTATCTTCATGTTGCAATTATTTACTGGGACATCTCCCCACAGCCTGAGACAAGCTCAATTCCTCCTTGCTCACACTTGCCCCTATCTCCTCTGCCCTGACAGAGGCAGAGCTGTACAAAATCTTTGAGACAATGAGAATTTTTACTGCAGAGACCTGCAAACCACAGCACAAGTCTGAGAAAAAGACACACTGTGTGGAGGCAAGGAATTACCTTCATTGCTGCCTGTTGGAAAAGTGGTGGCTACCAGATAAAAGATAAGATAAACAGGCGCAGGAGGTCTGGAAGGAATATTTAATCTCAATAAAAATGGAGTAGCTAATTGCATCCAGGATTTGATTAAAAAAATAAGTGTTAGAGGATGGAGAGCCAGGTCACAGCTCCTGAAGCCCCACCTTGTTGGCAGCTGATGGCCCTGGACACATCCAGCAGAGAGATGACATTTCTGATCCATGGCTTACAGGTGGAACCCTCTCCAAAATATTTTCAGGGCTTTTTTTTAGACCCTGCCTGCCCTTAAAACAGAGCTATGGGATGTAAAAGCTGTCTGTCCATCCAGCAGTGCTCTGGCATTATCCCATCTGGCAGTGGGACCAAATGCATGGATTTCACTGTATTTATTGCTCCTGCTTCAGACAAGTTCATCCTAAATGTGATTTGTGGTGTAGGATTACACGCAGTCCATCCCTAAGCCTCCTGAACATCAACTTGAATTCATCACATTTGATGGAGAGAGGAGTTAAGGGATTTGCATGCCTTGGTATTGCTCTGCCCAGTGGAGGCTGATTCTCAGGAGATGGCTGGGAACAGGACAACAGGGCAAGTCTCACAAGTCCTCCAGGGGACTGATCTCTGGTCTCTGTAGGAGTTTTTGGACAGATTTAGTGGCAGCAGCAGGAATTATCATGTCTTTTGACACACATCCTACAGCCAGACAGCTCTCTGAGCAGGGTGGAATGGCACAGTGACAGTGATGCCTGCATGTGAGGGGTGATTTCTGAGGATATGGGGCTCCAGGACTCCAAGGAGTGACACCACACCTTTTAATCCTTTTTGCTCTCAGTGGTGTGATTTCCCAGCCCTCTGCCCTGAAACCTTTGAAGCAGGACAGACTCTGGGGTGATGGGCTGGTGATTTCCTTGGGTGGCCAGAGCCCAGCATCCAAGTCAGAGCTGGAGGAGGCAGATGCAAACCCTACACTCTGAAAGCAACCACAGATTCTCCCCTCTCTTGGCAAGAGCAGAGACCTCAATAACTCAGATGAGAGGATCCTGAGAACCCTCAAACCAACCACTCACTTAAATTCAACATTAGTAAGTTAAGAGGAATAATTTAGAACCCTCAAACCAACCACCCACTTAAATTCAACTATAGTAAATTAAAGAGGGATAGTTTTTAAATGAAAACTGTTTACAACCTCTTTAAATGCCTGGGTTAAAAATAGAAAAATAAGATAATATTCATCTTAAAAACACCACAAAATGGATGAGTCCCTCTGGCACAGTTTGTTATTTGGGCTCCTACACACATAAGACACCAATGCAGCTCCCAGGAAATAATATGGCTCACCCCATAAAGCAGTGAGAATTATCTCTTTGCTTTCCCAGTCAAGTGACCCATTCCCACAAAACCTGACAGGTCAGGAGGTTGAAATCAGAAATGAATGCTTAAAAAATGAAACATTTTCAATTTCCTTCCCCACAAGCCCTTAATCATCACAAACAGAACATTTCTGCTGTTGCATAAGTGAAAAGGAAGTAATTTAGGAAATGACCCTTGTTTACCAGATTGAATGTCCCATATTCTTCCCTCAGAAAGTGGGTCAAAAACCCTTGAAAAGTCGTCTGGTCTCCCCATGTCCAGCGGGCTCGACTGAGGTAGGACGAAGCCGGCAGATAGAGATAAGGCAGCAAACCAGTCAAGAAGCATAAACCCAACTTCAGCAAATGGCCTAGGGACAATTCCTGCACCAAAATATGTCATATTGCATAACAATGTTTATTTTAGTTTAATCACGCTGGAACTTCAAGAACAGATAAAGAAAAAACATCAAATATATTTACACAGAGCTGATCTCTCAATTTATAGTAAGTCCCTACAAAATGCTATGTTAAACCTTACGATTTTGTGGATTACTAGGAAACTGCATCAAACTGATCTCCTTTGCATGGCAGGGTGAAATTTAAGTGAAGCAAATAATATTAGCTAGGACTCATGAGTATCATACTCATTGCATCTTTCACATTTAAATCATGGCATGACATGCATAGATGGCTGAAGCACTGCAAGGCTGAGATAACCCACTTTGCAGCGATTAAGAGTTGGCTGGTTTTCCATCTGGCAAAAAAAAAAAACAAAAAAACCCCACATAAATGCTGCTCTAGTACAACTGCACACATCATCACCATCATCAGGAGTCAGTTTTGCCATTTACTTGATCGTGATTACGCTGGCTAAATTGGATAGGCCAACTTTTGGGGTGGGATTTTCGAGACTGCCTAAGGGGTCAGGGAGACAAGACTTTCAAAGGGACTTCTGTGCCTAACTCCTTTAAGTGCTTTGGAAAATCCCACCCTGGAATATTGCACGCTTGCTTTGTCGTTAGCCACTGCCCTGTCAATCAAAGCACTTCCTCAGCATTTGGGGTTACTGGGAGTGATGATCTATGGAGCAGAGAAAGGAGGTGGATAATGGTGGTGGTCAGAGCTCCTTCAGAAGAAAGGTGGCTCATTTGTACTTTCAAAAGGCAGTTTTCCATCCATTTTCTCTTATTCAGTGGTTTCCTGCAGCGAGCACTACTGGGCTGTCCAAAGTATTTCCCGGGATTATTATATTGGGACAGCACTGCCCTTGCTGGAAATCACAGAGATCTCTCTGGAAAAAAAACCCAAAAACTGTTTCAAGAACATAAATACATTGCAGAAAGTCATTCTTGACTGTGTTAATGGAAATATATGGCCAGAAAAGGTGTTTGCTGCAGATGCTGAAGGGATTTTGGATCAAGCCTGTCTGAGTTGCATCACATTTCTTGCAGCTCGTGTGCTTCACCCAGGCTTGGTTATGCCCTGTGCCACTACTGAGAACCACACAGGGTGGATGTGGCTTTTGCTGGTTACCATCAGGGAGCCAACACACAGAAACTCATCTCCAGGTGAGCTGATGGCATGAGGAATCTCGAGTTTTTAGCTCCAAGTATTATTTTAGCTCGCAGGGTATTTGCAAGCAGCGGGGGCAGAGCACTCCTGTGCCAGGGACACGAGGGGGTCATGGATCACTGGCATGAGCAAGGGCCCTAAACTGTGACCACAGAATCCCAGAATGGTTTGGGTTGGAAGGGAACTTAAGAGATCATCTTCTTTCAACCCCTTGCCATGGGCAGGGACACCTTCCACTATCCCAGGCTGCTCCAAGCCCCATCCAATCTGGTCTTGGACACTGCCAGGGATGGGGCAGCCACAGCTTCTCTGAGCAGCCTGTGCCAGAGCCTCAGCACCTCACAGGGAAGAATTTCTTCCCAATATCTAAATCTAACCCTGTCCTCTATCAGTTTTAGGCCAGTCCCCTGTCCTATCACTCCATGCCCTTGTCAAAAGCCATCTTGTAGACCCTTTTGCAATCAGACCCCCTTGAGATCAGGGGCTGTGGTGTCAAGGCTGTAACTTCAGTGGGTTCTGATTAATCACATACATCAACTTAGAAGTGGCACAAGTTCTGGGGGAGAAGAATTAATCCCAACCTTAGAAAAACAGAGGTGTGGGTCAGTAAATACGTACCCTCTTTCTGAAAAGCCGTGAGAGAACCCAGGGCACAACACAAACGACATAAAGCACAATTGTGTGCTGATTACACAGACTGAGCCCACAGCAAAAAGCACCCAATTTAGAGATCTGAGGGGGGAAAAAAAATACAAAAATTCACAATTACTAACTACAAGTTTGCAAAAACATCCAGAGATCAAAAAGATTCAGCACAGCATGCTTACAGGAGAAAGGCAAATACACCAGTGAGCACTGGTCAGTTGTAACACAGAACTCAGGGGATTTTTTTTTAGTAGCTAGAGGGAGATTTCAACTGTTTAACAGAAAACATTCTTTAAGAAGTGTCCAGCTGAACAGCCATGCCTCCATGCATACAGAGATCCTGTGCAGCATCATCACATCACAATGATGTGATGAGTCCAATTCCTGAACCCAGGGGCACAGGGGAGGCTACCCAGCAGTTCACTCTTAGTGAGTTTTCAGAAATGTCCTAAAATAAAGCCATTATCTACAGAAATCTAATTTTTGTAACAGGAATGGTATTTTCCTCTTCGTTATGCACAGAGGGCTAAAGTTAGGGCTGCACAAACTTCCTAAGGCAAGGGAATTAAAGGTGACACCCCTGATTATTCCAAAAGCTCAAGCCTGTTCCAGTGCCCAAGCACCCCCTGGGGAAAGAACCTTTCCCTGATATCCAACCTAACCCTCCCCTGCTTGTTTCAGCCACTGGAGAGGGCAGTGTGTGAGATGCAAACACTTGCCTTGGTGTAGTGATAGGATCACCTTGCAATTTTTAATTAACTGCTCAGCATTCCATGCTGGACACTGCCCTGCCATGGCAACACCTTGCCCTAAGTTCACAAAAACCTTTATGGGTTTCAGAGCCGCCTGGCAGGGCTCAGAACCACCTCAGTAATTTTTAAAGTACATGGATGAACTTCAATATGATGTCTGTCTGACCATCTGATTTATAAAAAAGCACTACAAGCTTGCTGCTGGCAGCCTGGCTTCTTCCAGGCGTGGGATGCCAGACACTCAAAAAAAACCATTGGAACAAGCTCCTTAACTGCTTCTGAAAATCTAATTTTGAAAATCCCATTGGAAACTGGGCATGCAAAACATGGGAGAAGGTTGGGAAATGCCCAGCTCCATGTCAGTGGAATTCAGGTTGTGGGGATCTTGGGACACTGTTCATTAGAAAATAGTAATAATAATACTAATAAAAAAAAAAAAAACTCTAATGGTGAAACAAGGTCTCTGAAGCCATTGATAAAACATGTTATTTGAGAACTCACGAAGCTGAGTAAACTACCACTGCAGACTCCTGAAATTCTAGCCTAGCCCGACAAAAATCCCTTTATTCACACAATTCACAGGAGTCACAGCAGGCAAGTCTGTTGGAGGAAAAGAGATCAGATGTTCAGGCAAACAAAAGTAGAAAGAACAAGACTGCTGAGCAAAAATATCATTTGGCTGCCTAGTCTGTTTATAAAGTAGAAAATACAGCATGAAATTTTAAGTCTCTGTGTTTAACAATGCCATTATTTTAGGGGCACATTTAATTTCGTAAGAAAAACTGATTGAAAATTTGCTTGTTCCTGTTTTAGAGTTGAAATCTGTTTTCTGATTAGATAAAGTTTTCTGTAAAATATATCCATTTATCCTGAAGAAAATTACCAGTTCTTAAAACAAAACCTTGAACACCCACAGCCCAGTTTGTGTCTTTGATGCAGGATGAACTAAAATGTTTAGATTGAAATGATTTTGTTTTTCCTGCTTCCACCCTGTGGGTATTCAATTAAGCAACCCCAAGCCCAACCAACAAGTCCCAACTCAATACTTAAGCAAAGTGGGCAGGGTTTTTTCAATGTTTGCCACTTTTGAACATCCAGGTAGGTCAGGGATGGACCTCACTCAGCACAGGTGCTGAAGCAAGACCCAAAATTTGGCTATTTTATTTAAACAAAACTAAACCAGCAGTAAATGAACAGGAAATTAAACGAACAGGCGATAACCAATTACGAATAAAACAAAGAACAATTCACTTTGCTTGAGATGTTTTACCTTTGATCTTTCTTTTGCAGTGGATGCCTCCTCAAAACGAGCAGTGAGAGCCATCAGCAGCCCCACAAACAGATTGTTTAAGCTGAAAACCTCTGCTGTGATGGACCACTGCCATGTAAGACGAGAAAATGAAAACACCCCCGCAGCAAGGATTCCTCCAGCATATGAGCCAGAAAGCCTGCAAACACAGATAACATGAAATCTTCTTTTCCAACAAAAAAAAAAAGAGCCTACTTCATTGTCCTTCTTTCTTTAATTTTTTATTTTTTTTAAAAAAAAAACAAAACCATACTTTAGCAGCAGCAATGACTGGCACCCAGCACCCTGCCAAAACATTATATGGTTAAGATCTCCCTAATAATTTCTCTGCTAAGGATTGCCATTGGGGAAGAGCAGAGCCTGTTTGCCAGCCACCCAGCACCACAGAATCTGCTTCTTCTCGCCATGAAAACTTCCAGGATTGAATTTGGTTCAGAAATCCTGATGAGTGAAGGCCCAGAGGGTTTGTGGTGCACCGAGCCAGGGAGTCATGGCTTTAATGGGATACTCTGGAGGAGATGCCAGCAAGGGTGCAGCCTTCAATTCATCCAGGAGCTGAATTAAGAGTGGATTAGAGCTATTCAGGATGGACAGCATTGGCAGGGCTTTCCAGGGGTGTCCTGGGGCTGGGTGGGGGTTCAGCACCCACAGTTCCAGCAGGGAGAGGGGCCCACCAGGGTCAGGACTGTGGGAAAAGGGTGCCAGATCCAGCAAGAGGGAGGGAGAGGGGGAAGCAGCCACTGTTGGGATGGCTGTGAGCCCAAAGCCAGGCACCTCTGGGACTCCCAGATGGGATTTTGGCACACATTCCCCATGGAGCTGCCGGCCCAACTCAGCTGGATGCTGCAGCCAGCACAGGGAGCCCACGAGGTGGAATTCAGGAAACCCTGAAGAGGTTTCTCTTCCCAGCCAGCCTCACTGGGAGCAGCTCTGGCTCTGCTTGTCTGGAAGCTCCCCCCCTTTAGGAAGTCACCCTGAAAAGATGCTGTGTGGGGCACCACAACATGCTCAATTAAGCTTTATCCAAAACCACAAACAGCTGTGGCTGTGGTCAAAGCTACACTCCAAAAATTCACCATTCCACTGTAAGACTCAGCTAGTCTCCACCACAATTTTTTCTAATTCCAGTCCAGACACACAGAGTTCCATTTAATCCTAACAATTCTAGCAGGTTTAAACCAAAAAAATTGCAAGTTACCCCACCTCTTCATCGAGCTACATGTGTGATTTCTACATGAGATGAGGAAGCTCCTGACAGAGCCCTCTCTACAAAAAATCTACAAAAACCAATCTATACTTGGTTTGCCAGAGTATCTGAAGGTGTCTGGAAAACAGAACTAATGATTTTTATCTCCTCTGAGAAGTATTTTGAGATCTGCACCTGCAGGATGTCACCAAAGGGTGAGAAGTATGGAGTTAACATTGGGGGGAAAAAGGAAACAATTCTGAGGTGTTCCAGGCCAAGCTCAAGGTGACACAGCAAGTTCAACATCAAGACTGTGGGAAGAAATCTCAAAAAACAATAGAATTAGGAAAAAACCTGAAGAAAATTACCAGGAAAGGGCAGCAGGACCATGTGTAACTAAAAACCAACAGGTTCCCAATACACAAATCCACTTTGTAACATTCCTGTTTTTACTAAACCATTTAAACTATTCAAACCTTTAGTTATAAAGAAACAACTTCATAAATCCCTTGGAAATCCCTGCAGGGAAATAAGGTTAAAAAAAAAGGTGAAACAACTTTTCCAAAAATCTTCTTCAGAAAAGCAGCATTTTAGGCAAATGTCCCAGTCATTCACCAGTTCTCCTTGTCTTTCCCAGGGAAGACTCAAACATATCATGAGAGTTCAAATGAGATGAAAGAAATCCCATCCTCTTGATAAAACGTCTCAAACCTGCGAGTCAAGTTTTATGAAATAAGGCTTAAGCAAAAGCCACTCAACCCAAAGCTTAAAGACTTATCCCAGCTATGTGGGACAGAGGACACCTCTCCTCACTGAGCAGAGCAGGGTCAGGAGCCCAAACTAAGCCCAGCCCCCAGACCTGTCTGTCCCCAGAACCATAAAAACAATCATAGAATGGCTTAGGCTGGATGGGAACATAAAGATCATCCTGTTCCAACCTAAGCCATGGCAGGGACAACTTCCTCTAGGTTGCTCCAAGCCCCATCCAAACTGGCCTTGGACACTTCCAGGGATCCAGGGGCAGCCACAGCTTCTCTGGGCACCCTGTGCCAGGGCCTCCCCACCCTCACAGGGAAGAATTCCTTCCCATATCCCATCTAACCCTGCCCTCTGGCAGTGGGAAGCCATTCCCCCTTGTCCTGTCACTTCAGGCCTTTGTCCAAGTCTCTCCTCATCTCTCTTGGAGCTGTTTTAGGTTTTGGAAGGGGCTCTAAGGTCTCCTTGGAATCTTCTCTGGGCTGAAGAACTTTCCCAGGAAATTCATGGGAAAGCCAAGCTGCTGAGCTCCTGCCTCATCTCCTTTGTGACAGCCCATTTCATGCATGGAGCACTAAGCTCCTCTAAATAGAACAGATGTCAAAAAACCAAATGGGAACGTGTTGCATTCTTGAACATCAAGGAAACAGCTTTGGGAAGTGCAAGCTGCAGACCAAGGGGTTTTCTGCAGGTTCTGTTACCAGCAATAGAAATGATGGGTTTGTGAGCTTGCTGATTCAGAGGAAAATCCTCAAAAGATGAAGAAATCAGAGCAGGTATCTCCAGAGGAGGATGAGGGGCACCTGGCAGAAGAAAAGCAATAATCCAGAGTGAAAAGCAGCACCAGCAGGACAAGTAGAAATGAATCCCATGTGACTGTCAGCATGATTTTGGGGCAAATTAAATCAATCCTGCCCTGTAGCTGGGGTAACGTGGCCATGCAGCTGATTTTGCTCAACATGAAGATCTCCATGCTCCTCTGCCTCTTGGAGTTCTCCAGCACAGAGTGACAATGTGCCACATCTCTCCTGCCTCAAAGCCAAGATGACACACTGTCCAACGAGGTGACAAAAAACAGCTCAGCCACCTACACCACTTTGGACCAAAGACCAACCTCAGGGTGGAGAAAACACTGATGGGTGTTCAGTGATGCAAGGCAGAGAGAGATGAAAGAATTCTCCAGAAAAAGCACAAAAAACTTGCAAAAGAGAGTAAAATAGAGATGGGAAAAACTTAAAAAAGCAAAGGGATAGGGCAGAGCTTTGAAACTGAGGTCAAGAAGCTAAAAGCCATGAATTTTTTTCCCCATCCCTGGAAGTGTTCCAGGCTAGGTTGGATGGGGATTGGAGCAGCCTGGTCCCTGCCCATGGCAGGGGGTTGGAATGGGATGAAATTTAAGATCCTTTCCAACCCAAACCATCCTGGGACTCTGTGATTCTCTAGAAACATGAAAAAAATTTGCAAAGGAGGGCAGTGCAATCTATAACTGAAGATGCTGATGGTGTGTTACGAAAGGAAACAGGACATGAGGGAGCCAGAAGGTGATGGCTGCCTTAATTACAGGCACAGAGAGAATTCTTGTGGTTAAGTCAGTATTTTGTGGAAGAAGGTAAATGCAAGAGCTAAAGGAGATCTCCTATAAGCCCAGCAAGAACTCAACAACACAGTGACCAATGTGGAGACAGAGGGAACGAGATGAAGAAGCCACTTGTGTGGAAGTGAAGATGGCACAGAGTCACTTGTCTCACCAAAATCAAACACCAGGCCTGGCACTGACAATGCAAATTATTTCCTGCAGTGAAGCCTTGCTGGACAAGGAACCACAGAGCCTTTGGGCTCAGCCACCCTGCCTGGAGCCTTCTCAGGCATGCCATGGGTGGGAGAAGGAAATATTTTGGTGGTTTTTTTCCTGGAAATACCTTCCAGTTGCTTAACACTGCCTTTCCTTTTGACAGCACATCAGGACTGCAGAGCAGAGAGCAGCAGAGAATTACCCTCACTCCACTTCTACTCGTGCTTCTGTCCTTGAACACATTTTTCAAATAGAGCTGAGGTGCTACAAAACACAGCAAAGACACCCAACAGCTGAATCCTCCACTGGCCTCATGGAAAAGCAACATCTTAGGAGAGCTTTATCCCAGTATTTTGGGGAGCAGGCAGGACAGATAGCTGCTCCCCCAAAATCCAGCTTGCTCCCCCAGTCTTTGGGCCCAGCAGAAGGAAGAACAGGCCCAGCACACAGGAGCCAACTCATGGAAGAAGAAAATAATTGAAACCACAGCAAAAGTGGGAAAGTCTTCATGACCATCATCTGAAAATGCACTCAGAAGGGACAGAAAGAGTCAGCAAAGGAGAGGTCACAGAGTCCTTAGTGAGAAATATTTTCCCATGGCATCTCTAAACATAAAAGGAAAAGACTAAAAAAAATTAATTATGATTTGTTTTCCTTTTCAAGCATGCAAGTGAAAGAATGTGCTGCTGGGCCTCAGCTCCAAGGATGCAGCCAGTAGGAATTTGCCTTAATCAGGACTATTTTGGCTACAAGTTTTTATTAAGAGTTTGCAGGAACATTTGGGAAAACTGAAATTAAATATTTTAACTTGGGGGTTTTTTTGCAATTACAGTTTTTAGCTTCTCATTTGTTGGCAATCACTGAAACAAGCAAGTTTGCAATTTAAAATTTAGCCTTTCCTTTAAATTTGGTAAAATTTTCCTTTAGCCAAGGTTACAAGTCATATGCATTTAACAAAAAAACTCCACCAGCATTTTTATTTTTTTATTTTGAAATTAATGGCAAACATTCTATATTTAATAATTCCCCAAAATGTATTAAATGATCGGCATAAAGCTATAGATGGATGGGAATTGGAATTTAATTAAAATGTTTTCATTAAATGCAATCTTCAGTGCACCGGATTCATTAAGAAAAGTAAGATAATTGGAATGGTTTATTTTTGAAGCTGATGTATTTAACACTGGCAACACCTATCTATACCTAGTGAAATAAGCTGATTATTTCTGCTTTCTCTTTGCTCCAAAACTTTACAGGCAGCAGATCTTAGCCTTGCATCTTTTATTTTTTTTTTATTAGGCAGTGGAATAAGAAAAAAAACTCTCCTGATTTTTAAAATCTCAATTAATTAACAAAATAATGGATTTTTAACTTTTTTTTTTAAATTTCTGTCTCTCCCTGCACC